TGCACGTGGACCTCTCGCGGAAACCACGGCATCGTCTGCAAGCTGTCTAAGCGTGCATAGATTATCTAAGTAGTTATCAATATCTTTGACATAGAAATTATAAAGCAAGGGACTTAAACATGAACCTTGGGATAAGCCCATGTAGCTAATTCTAGAAGTTGTCAGTTGACCTAGTTTGAAGGTCATTTGTTTTTCTGACAGCAAATTATACAAGAAATTATTCAAAATACCGGGTAATCCACTACTGTGCAAATTGTCTGACAGTATGTCTATGGAAACCGAATCAAATGCGCCCTTAATATCCAAAAAGACTGAAGCCAATTGCTCCTTGTGCGCAAAGGCCAGTTGAATATCAGATGAAAGCATCGCTAGACAATCGTTTGTTCCTTTACTCTTCCGGAAACCAAATTGCGTATTTGAAAGTAGATTGTTTGATTCAACCCAATGGTCAAGTCTTAATAGGATCATTTTTTCTAATAATTTCCTCAGGCATGATAACATAGAGATCGGACGGTAAGAATTGTGATCAGACGCTGGTTTCCCAGGCTTTTGAATAGCTATTACTTTAACCTGTCTCCCTGCTGGTGGAACTATATTGAATTCCATAAATGAATTATATAGGTTAAGTAATCGTCTTTTAGCGATATCGGGGAGGTTTTTTAAAAGGTCGAATTTGATCATATCGCTTCCCGGAGCAGAGTTATTCGATGAAAGAAGTGCCATTGAAAATTCCAGTATTGTGAATGGTTCATCCAGAGAACCGCTACTTCGGACTGTATCCCGTAAAGTTGGTTGTGCTGGAACAGAATCTGGACAAACCTTTTTAGCGAAGTCGAATATCCTTTGGGAGGAGTATTCTTCACTTTCATTGGAAGATGAGAGGTTTCGCATATAGCGAACCTTTTTCCAAAGCGTTTTCATCGAGGTTTCTCTAGAAAGTCCCTCGATAAAAGTACACCAGTAATTTCGTTTCTTTGCTTTTAGTAAGTTGTTAAGCTTTTTTTCAAGCTTTAGATACTTTTCAAAAAGCTCAGATCTTTCATGTCTACGATAATCTTTAAAGGCATCGGATTTCTCAAGATACAACTTTGTGCATTCGTCATCCCATCCAGGGGTGGCGGGTCTTCTCTTGAGGGATGCACTTGGAACACGTCGTTTCTGAGCTTCTAATGCGCTTTTGTAGATTAGCTCGGTAAAGAAACGATACTCTTCCAGTGGTGGTAGAGGATCGGTAGAATCAATACCAAGAGTTACCACCGATACAAATGTTTGCCAATCAATGTTCCTCGTGAGGTCAAAAGGAACTTGAATTGACTGATCTGTTTTTAGACGACCACTTTTGATTGAAATAATAATTGGCAAGTGATCACTACCATGGGGATCATTGATAACCTTCCACAGACAATCTAATGATAGTGAGTTAGAGCACAAAGAAATATCAAGACGGCTCTCTCGAGCAGGAGGGTTTGCTATACGTGTTGCTTCACCATTGAACACTAGTCAAGTTGAAATCGTCGCACAAATCATAGAAAATACCCGCTCTATTGTCATCGTATAATTTGCCCCAACCAGTACCGTGTGAGTTCATATCGCCCAGTATTAGAACTGGAGATGGAAGGATATTAACTGAACTCCAAAGCTGACGGCGGTTTATGGAAGTCCTTGGAGGGACATATACAGAAGCTATGCAAAGATCTTTGTTCTTCACATTTATTTGGCAAGCGACAATTTCAATGCCTGAAATTATTGGGATTGAGATTTTATAGAAGGAGTAGCACTTTTTGATTCCCAAAAGTACGCCACCATATGCTTCAAAAATGCACATTGTTGTTGAAGAAAACAAATCGCTATCTCTTTATTTTTTGGATTTACGTCCGTTTTAAAAACCTTTTAACACTATATTTAAGGGGGTGTATCTTGCAGGTGTGCTTTTGTGCTTTTGTGTACCGTGGTACGTTACGGGATGTAAGATCTACCACTAATTCCTAGTCATGACTTCTTCAAACTAAGGGAACAGGATTGTTCAGTAATCAAAGGAACACATCTTAGTCCTTGTTACTTTTTATGCCTTGTTGATAGTGTCAAGACTCGGCTTTGTCCATCGAAGATGATCTTGAAACAAAGAAAAAAATGATTTAGTTAGTCTTCATCAATGCGATTCCTAATCTTCTAATCGTTGTTCCGTAGGTTGAAGTTGTTAAGACTATGGTTCTGATGGTCATTATCGGTGTCATTTCTTAATTTTGTTGCTAAGGAATCCAATTTTGACTGACAATTAGAGTAGGATCCTTGCGATAAATGCAAGAATGACGAATGTAGAACTAATCGAATACTTAATCATTTCTCAATAGTTATGGAGTAATACGACATGCACTAAACTAAGGACACGGGATATACTACAATAAGGTGATCCAAGAAACGTATCTCAGTGGAACTGACAGCTAGAAATCTAGAGTGTGTGAGTGATCTGGTGTAAATGGTGCTGAATGTAAACATAAACAAAGCAGAAATTCATATGAGAATAGACTGCCAGTTCTTCTGTGATCTGTCTAAAGTTCTAGGTAAACAAAAAGTCAGCTGATCGCAACTGTCTCGTGGACAGCCTTATAGATCAAATTGCTGGTCGCAGTAGTGTAAGGTCCTAAACATAGGAATGTTTCTCACTATAAAACATCATCGCTAAAACATTACTGCCATCTGTTGACTACACCGTGGTGGGCAGTACGCTGAACGTCAAACGTAAGGCAATTGACTATGCCACAAGTGGTGGAACTACCAACTAAGATACTTTTAAATTTACCGTTAAATACTTGCTCGATGAACAACTTGCGAGAATTATGTCTGTTTGTCTGTGCTATGACCATCAGAAACTAGGGGGGTGCCACAGCAGCACACAATATCTTTCCTGCATCTTAGATGGAGTCACCCCCTCGATCAGAAAACAGATTTTCTGGTAGCCTTATTTCTAGACTAACATTTGAAAAGGACGTAACTCCAAAATGACCAAATCGAGAAAATCGCTTCCGAATTTTGTTGACCTGTAAATTAATCCTATTTCACGACTTTCCATTTTCTGGATGATTTTATAAGCTTGACATATAGTTAAAAGTGTAATCTATCATCACCATGGACCTATGGGCCATGCTTCCACGCCTCGTTCTTAACAAATTCCTCAACTGACATCCCACGTGAGACGAGATCTGCAGGGTTCTCTGAGCCAGACATGTGATTCCACCTGCCACCTTGAGTGTAGTGTTGAATTTCTTATACCCTTTTCGCCACGAATGTCTTCCACAAGCTGGGAGGTGCGCGAAGCCAGTATATGCAGACTTAAGGATCTGACCAGAAATACGATGCTGACACGTGGACGTTGATAGATTCTTAGATGCGGTGATGCAGATGCGCAGCCAAGACGAAAGCACAAAGCTCAAGTCGGGCGATGGTTAGTCTTTTTAGCGGCGTCACCTTACTTTTCGAAGCCAATAGACGAGTCTTCACCACTCCCAGGGCATTTTCACAGCGGACGTACGTGCAGGCTCCATATGAAGCTGTTGAAGCATAGGCGAAAGTATGTAGCTTCACTCTAGCCTCCGGCAAGAATGCATAATGGTCGATTCGGTAAGTAGCGGTCTTCGTTAGCTCACGCCGGAAGTTCTCCCATTTTAGTTGAATGGCATGCGGTACGGGATCATCCCAGTCGCACGAGAGGGACCACAATTCTTGCATCAGGATCTTCGCTGTGACAACGACAGGTGCAATTTGGCCAAGTGGGTCGATGAACCTAGCGATGTCGGAGAGGATGGACCGCTTCGTGGGTGGATCGTCACGTTGCTGTATTTGGGATACAAACCGCAGTTGATTGGACTCTGGCTCCCAGTGAATTCCTACCGCCTCTATGGACTCGTTTGGGCTGAACTGCAAACTCGATTGAGTCCCAATCTGGTCGTTTTCGAGTCCTTGTAGAACTTCTAGGTGGTTCGACGTCCACTTTCTCAACACGAAGCCACCTTTTTCAAGCAATTCAGAAAGCTCCCTCCGAAGCTGAGCAGCTTCTTTAATAGAATTTGCTCCTCCGATGTAGTCGTCCACATAAAAGTTTTTGCGTATTGATGGACCAGCTAATGGATATGCATCACCTGCATCCGTTGCAATCTGCTGGTTAGTCTAGATTTCACGTGGTGGCGGCGTGTGAAAAAGTAAAAATAATAGTATTGCTCTGGAAATCATTAAATTGTTTATTTGCCAATCGAGGAAAAATCACAAAAAGTATTCTTTTGAAGGAATGGTAAAAATATAGTACTAAATACTAAAAACGTGAATTACTGACAAAAGTTTTAAAACTTCGCAAATCTCATTTGTTTGAAGATGTACAGCTTTTATGTCTTTGGCATTTTTCCATAACATTTTACGTTCTACAACCTTGCCCAAGACAGCAAGGCTCTTGCGAAATAAAAAAGTTTGTATCACTGCGTGATCTTTGTGGTCACAACTTGAACTATTTTTATATATCAAATTGTAGTCCTAACTAATCCAAGAAACTTATCAGAAGATGTCAACTCAATTGGATTCAATCCCAGAGCGTTATTATTTTTAAATACTAAATGTTATTCCTGGCCCACTGTGCAGTGTACTTCGTACACGACTTCAGAAAGCGTGCAAAGTTATTCGAGATAACGTCGTGGAAAACCCAGAGAACCTTGAGATAAACTGAAGAGAAACTCAAAGATAAAATGAGCAAACTTCAAGGATATGAATTCTAATCAAAACGTTACTCCATCAAGCTGGACTTAATCACCTAGTTAGCTCTATTCAGCATGTTTCCATGTTTACTGCGGTTTCAATATTGTCTGGTACTGGCTGCTAAAGTCAGCTATATTTCTGTTTTCAAATCACATTTAAGGAGACTTATTTCACACACAACACATTGACCTCATCCAGAACTTCAATATCACATTTAATCCAACCTAATACCTCTTTATCTTCATCTAATCTCCCCGTAGATTATGCGGCAGCTGCGATGCCCTGCCCGGAGGTGGCCCACCAATGAAGGTGATTCCCTACCCCCCGGGATCCACCGATTCTCACCTTCAAAACCGCCCACCTCTGTTGCACTCCATCAGCAATAATGGGAGTACCAGCAATTCCACCGAACATGAAAATGCGACCTGCTTCAATGGCACCCACACTTGCTCCTCGGACGGTTCCGGCACCGGAAGCAGCGGAAGCGGTGGCTTCTCCCAGCGGTCCAAGTTTGCCCGCAAGGTGCATGTAAATATCGAAAATGCCATCAATGGAAACTATCATCAGCATCATAATCATCATCACCATCATCATCATAATCAACATAATCATCAGAACGGACATCATCATCAGCAGCAGCAACAGCAGCAGCAGCAACAGGAGACGATCAGCGAACATGAAGAGACTGAAAACGACAAAATGCTTAATAGTTATAGCTGTGACACCGAAGGTGAGGTGACAACGACGCTTAGCAACGGTTGTGGCCTCGGACGGGACGACTGCGAGGACGACGGGGACGATACCTGCTGCTCGTGCAGCGAGGAGGGATCCTTCCTGTACGAGGAACCGATTCAGGTCAAGTAAAGTGGCGGTGGTGTTCCTAAACTGTTACGTAGCCTACACTTATCCGACCGGTAATGACAAAAGGCAACGAAATCCTTTTCCTATCAGTAGAAGTAGTGGTTGCGCAGTGCGATATTAAGATTATCAGTAGAAGTTTTAGAACGGAAAGAAAGCCGATTGTTTCTGAAGGCACGCAGGCAGGAGTGTAATTTATTGAAATTTGATTAGCAGGCACCGAAGCTGAGGCGGCGGGTGGGCAAATTAATTCCGTTTATTTAGGAAGCGATACAAAGTCTGGTCATGAACGGAGCGTAAATCGGAAAGGGGTTTTTGTCGTAGCTGTTCCGCCGAAAGGATTTGTTGAAATTAGCGAGGATGAGAGGATCCATGTGGAGGGATTTTGTTGAGTTGAGAAGTGAAGAAAAAAAATGCAAACAGAGTAGCAAGAACCAATTGGGAAGCCTGGGTTTAGCATTCAGGTCTGCTCGATGAGCAACTATTAAATTGGGATTCGGATGGGAATACTAATGACGGGGGACGCGAGAGTTGTCGGTTGTTGGACCTGCTGCGGAGATGTGAAGTGTGCGGATGGTTTGAAAATGGTGGCGAAGTTCGAAGCCGGTGAAATTGATTAATGAAAATTGTTGGGAATGGATTTCTTGGCTAAAAGTAATTATTATACTTCTCCTGAGCACGCAAAGTAGCATAAGATTTTAGTGGAAAATTTGACTCGCTTTCCGAAGTTTGTCGACGCCGAACTCTAGCCCAACCTTTGTTGAAATAGTACGTTGTACTCTCACAGGAGCCCCAGCACCGACACGTATCAGTCTCACATTTGACAAACACGTTTTGCATACCAAATTGCGGCCAGATCCAAGTGAGTACACACTCGGCATTCGCACCAACCTCCCAGTAGTAGCCACCGACCGAAGTCAACCAACGAACGTTTCGCTTTCATCTCATTCAGTTTCAGCTACCTTGTTCAAATTACACCATTGACAGACCTCACACCCCACAGAAGTTGGAATAAGTTTCAGGGAAGAAATCCTACCGCCCGGTACGTTCATGGAAGGCTTCTTTGTTTCAATTTAATTTGGGCGGCATGTGAGAAACATGCTTTCAAGGAGAGAAAGGAGGCATGCGGAATACTTTTGTCAACGTGTGTAGACACTTAGCACAAGACAAACTTTGCTACTCAACTACAAACTTGGTTTATTTTGCGTCTACTGCAGCAGCAATAATCGCAAAGGATGAAATTCATTCGGATGCTGAATGCTAATGGGCCGGGCAGGATTCAAGTTTGCGAAAAGTTTACTCTGCTCCCGGACTAATCTGATGAACGTGAGACTCAAGACTCAACCAAATCCGAAACAAGCACTGCCATACCGAGGGACTTTTACACCTTAACAGTTCAAGCAAATTAAATTAACGTGCCGATGACCGTTCAATCGATGTGACCACTCGCTTTTATCGCCGCACAATTAAACCAATCAATTTGGCTCAATGAAGCATCGTCGAGATTAATGAGTGAAACCATGACACAACCAGGGGGGAAAAACGACAGCAAATAAAATAAAATCACACCCAATTTATCATAATCAAAAACGAACTTAATTACGCTGATTTCGACGAGTCCGATCGATCGAGGCCAGGAGGCGAGGAAGATCGTAATCATGTATATTATATTGTACCTGTGATATTGTTTAATGTGATAAGCCATTACCTTTAATTGCGTGTAACGGTTTGCGTTTTCGATTTTTCGGTCGCTCTCTTTTCCAACCACCAACAGATGACGGCATATTCTCCTGGGTTGTAATGGTACGTTTGATCTGATTGAAGAAAATTTTAAACTAAGTGTGTAGGCATATAAGTTGTAGATTAAATTCTATTTAGTCCTCCCGATAAACACAGAAGAGGGTGTTTGTAAATAGGCACATTGTAGATAGTTTGTTTGTACGTGAAGTAGGTGGATTTTATCAATCAATGCGCAACAAAACTACGATAACGTAAAACTTCGCTTTATACGAATACAAAAATATGAAAACCACGCCTACCGAAACAAAGCGCCATAAACCGAGGGATTTTGTATGACCTTTACAAACAGGCATTCGCAGCACTAATCAATCAGCAATGTATTGAAACAGTCACTAGAATTACCTACTATACATAGATCGACGACATCGTGAAGTAAAACGTACCTACTTGTAGATTTTTCTCAAAAACATAACAAATAAAATGAATGGCCATCATCATCAGCATCACACAATCGAATCAATCGAATCACATTATATTGCATTTAACGTGAACATAAGCTCACATATATCATGCAACTCGAAAAAAGGAGACACATAACATTTGCGCAATACTAACTTTAGAATTATTTATTAACATGACGTAATCAGTGCTAGTTGTACTAATGCATATACAAGCAAAGCGATTAAAGGAAATCAGTTAGAGAATTTCGAACACGTGTTCTTTTTGGTAAACCATTTATACCCGCTGCTGAGTGGGGCAGCAGAATATTGTGACGAAGGATGGAGGTGAAAGGACGATGTAAATAAAGCTAAATTATTACGAAAATAATTATTTCACTAGTCGAATAAATTGAATTTTAATATCACCACCAATGCCATATTTTTGTTCTCATCGTAGATTTAAAGCCAACTTCATCCAAGCACGGAAAGGGAAGGTAATACTGACGATTATTGAGCACTTTTTCCAAAAGTCATATTAATTTTGGATTTCATTACGAGATATTTGAGATACTTTTAAAAACCGTAGATGTTGTAGATCTGAACGTTCCATAAAATAAGCTGTCGTGAGCTCACAGAGCTCATACGAATATAACGAAAAATCATGTGTAAGATTTAAAAAAAAAACCTTTGCGATTGCTAATATAGTGGCGCCTCAGTACGGGCACATTCCATACCAAATTACGCTACCGTACACAGCAAAAAAATAATTTTGATATCACGTCATAGTGGATGCACTACAATCATGTCAAAAATATGGTGTAATATTACTTGCTAAAAAGGACAAAATTATCATTAATACAATGAACTGACATTACGCTGCTTTTACTGCATTTGTTTATTTATGTGGTCATAAAAATTACATGAAATTTTCGACATGATTGTAGTGCATCAACTTTGATGTGATATCAAAATTATTTTTTTGCTGTGTATTGATAAATGTTCTCTAGACAAACATGAGAAAAAAGCCAGTGAGCCAAATATAAACAATGTCTTTAAACACCTAGCAAAACTCGTGCAAGCAAGCCAATATCCGCGTCTGGTATTGATGAATCTACGCGAAACTGCACCAGTGCATGCGACACCTAGGTTTGAAATCCAAAACCACAAAAGTGATGATGTACACGGATAGAAATCCCCTTATACCTTTTGGCAAATTTCCATTGCTGATTATTCATAAAATGTATAAATCAACTAATAAGCAGACGCCTTGCAAAAAGTTAATGAAGATCATGTGTCAAATGAAATGTATAAATAGTCACACATACCGTTTATGCGTTCTTATAGGACGTATGTGGTTTGTCTAATGAAATGTATAAGGCTGATGTTTTGGCAAAAAATTATAAGTGAAAAACATAAATAAAATAATTAATTTTCGTTTCGTGTACATAACAATATTCCATACGATTTGACAGCTAGCAAAACGTCATTATCATTTTAACATCATTCCCATCTGCTGGCCGACCGTAACGTAGATCCATCAAGAGGAAGTTTGCTCTATTAGGTAGTGTAATTAGTGTTCGTGGGTGTTACGATTCATGATAAATCACCGTTTTAAATTTAAAGTTAAAGTTTAGAGTCATTTGACCCAGAGATCTTGGAGGCGAACCAGCCTAAGGCTGAAAGCCTCCTAAATAAAGCTAAATTAATTAATTGACTCAGAGACTTCTCTGACGTTTGTGAATTGTACAAGTATTAGTGCAGAACTTTGGGTAAATTCAAAGGTTTTCTTGCACTAATACTTATAATTTACGCCGAGTTCTGCACTAATACTTGTGCATTTCACAAACGTCAGAGAAGTCTATTGTCAATTTTCACATGTTCGTCTATATATGTCATCCGAGCGCTTTAAGGGCTGAACACAATGATAGCGGCATAGTGGCATAGCGGCACACTGATAAATTAAACTTTTCCCATTTCGCTTGAGATTTAATCAATTTGACATTAAACTCAGTTTAATCATATCGAATGATTAAAAATTAATACTCTCTTTCTTAAATATAAGCATCTGATATTAATCCCAGTTTAATCATAGTTGATTAGATTGAAGATAACCTGTTTTGAATAAATTTCAATCATTTTTTATTCTATTTTAATAATTTTTGATTAAATTTTAATCTTTTTTGATTATATTACAGTACTGAAAAAGAATAAAATTCAATACTGGAAAGATTATTTCAAATTTAATCATGCATGACTACTGCCGAAGTAATCATGGCTCGGACTCAATAAGGTGAAGCGGGAATCTGCATACTTTTTAAGCTTTTTGATTTAATTTATCATTGAGTGCAGGCGCATATTTTCCAATACACTGAAATCCGTTTGACAACCAATTAGCGCGTTGCGGCAAAAACGGTATTGTACTAAAACTCGTTTTTTTTCTCAACATTTTGGAAAAACACGGTGCGGTTAAGCCGCAACCTGAGAAGTGCTCAGTGTTTTCAGATGTAGTTTTTGGAATTTCGAATGAACCAGAAACTTCAAGACGTGAACCAAATAATCATCCAAGATAGTAAGTAAGTAGTCAGAAAAATGTTGGCCGCATCCGGAAATGTTCTGGGTACCTTGGACAGTCTCTTCATGAACCAACATCCTCATGCGACACATCAAACTACATCAGAATTCAAAAATACGATCATCGGTGGCCATATTAAGTACTGAGGACCAAGTTCCGGATGCTTCCGGGGAGTTTAATAAATATCCCGAAATTTTCCTGATGCAAAAAGAACTTCTCTGGATTTTTCAGATATTCCCTGAAATTCTCTTCAGAACTACTTGATGAGAGAGGGAAGGATTAGTTATTTCCATTTAATTCCAAATGGAATGTACGTTGGTTGTCTAAATATTCTGTTGAAAATCTTTGAACTTTCCAAATATTCGGGACTTCTCTAAAAATATCGTTACTCCCAAAAATTCTCGAAATTTCTCAATAAATTAGAGTTCTGTGGTCTTCCCTAAAATTAATCATTTTGTTCGACCATTTTCCACAGAGATGGCGCTGTTCCGCTGGTAGGAAGTGCTAAAAATCCCCAAAAGAAATTGAGAGAAGTGGGAATAATTCGCTTTCGGTGCATATTCAGGTCAAAAAAAGTGAACGACAACCTAAAGAAATTAATCAGGGACTTTGTCGTTCAGTTTTTTCCCGGAAATTATTGTTAAGCAAGCTACAATTAAATAAAAATGATTTTTCCCCATACAATTTTACCTGCTTTACTACCAGTCCTCAGGGAGCCAAAA